GGGGGGGGGGCAGTGCTGCTTTGTGTTTTGTTTTCATAGCAGTAAGCAACCTAATCTTGCTTGACCCACTTTTTCTAGACGTTACAAGGTGAGTAAGACAAGGGTATAGATTATGGTAGGTAGGGGAAAATATCTGCTACCTATTTTTCTGTCCTTACCATTTGTCTCTTTATTCACCCAGGAATTAATGAGCTGTCTTGCTTCCTCTGTAGCTGTTTTGAAGTTAACTTCTTCCAGCTCTGCTTTGTAGAATTTTTTTGCACACTTTAAGTACTCCTGTAAGCAGAAGGATGCAGTTGTCAGACTGATGAGAACTTGGAAATGTATGAATGTGAAATGCAAGGTTGTGAAGTGAAACAGAATGATTAAAAGAACAGTGAACATTTACCCCATGTTTGAACTTGTCAGTCACAGCTGTGTTCCTGTAACTGAATCTTAAAGCTGTACAAGAAAGACTATTTCACATATTTAGGTCTGGCATTTTTTTTTTTCAGATGGGATTCTAAGGTAAAATTATGAAATATTTTCTTTGTTTTACCAAAACACTTTCAGTATAACAAACATTTTTAAGGACAGATGATGTTTGTTTCCTTCTCTTTCTGCCCACTTTTTATTTTGAATACTGTGTTCTGACATTCTTAAGTTTCAGAAACAAAGTTTCCTTTCACTGGGAAGATTAGATATTTGGCTCTGAAAAAATCCAAATTCAACAATTTCAGTCTTCATGCTTTCAAGTCATAAAATGTATTTAATTTCCCTTAAAAGTTTAATTTTTCATTAAAAGCCATTTTCTAGCAAACGAACAGCAATCTTGACTACTCCCTGTGTTGTTGCAATATTTTATGCCATTATACTCCTGCCTGACCTCCACCCAAGAGCCACAGGAAAGTTCAAACTTCTTCTGAACCAGTTTCCCTCACGGGTCACAACTATTCCTTCGTCAACAGACAGTGGGCTATTGGTGGTGGTACTTCCCTAGGGTAGAGTAACAGGGGCCTTTATGGGGAATATTGATCTAGCCAGGTCACAGTTCAACTCACTGGAAGAATGGGGTATGTTTCTTCAATATAGAGTCTGTCAGCAATCTTGAGGGAGTATGTAGCATTTGGCTTGGTGATGTCTGAGAGAATATCCTTGAATGAATCGTGGATGTATTCAGAAGTGCCACACTGAGGTGATGACATGAAAATAAGAAGATACATTTCATTAGCTTCCTCTTGTCTAGGAAATAAGACCCTAAAGATTGTCCCTATCAGTTAAGTCATGCTACAGTGGAATCCTCCTCCACAGACATAGGGCTGTCACCTTTGGGACAATGGGTGTTACAGTGATGGTGCATTCAAATGACCCTGAAGAGAAGTGCCCTGAAATGTTCTTTTTGTTAAAGTGCAGTTGTGTTTCTGTCACAGAGACTTCTGGGCTCTTCTCTGCCCTGCTTTGGAGTGTCTCAATTACAAGTCTGACTGCTGTACCCTGGCTCCAGGTGCCGAGCCCCATTCACATGCTGTCCCCCAGCAGCCCTTGCCCAGGAAGGCACCCTGATGCCCAAAGCATCCTTCCCCACATTGTCACTTGTTCTGGTGCAAGATAAGCAACCTGACTTCTTTCCCTGGTTTTTAAGAAATAGGTGAGTTACACCCTCCTTCCCTCCCTCCACAGGTCTCCTTGGTTTGAGAACATTACCTAGTTTTTGACAGAGTTTGAAACTGCCAGTTTCTAGTTTTGTTCTGAGGAGAAAATAAGACGGAAAGGGAGAGCAAGTTGTCTCTCTACCTGGGAATCAGTAGTGTCTTCAACTCCTGTAACGTTATCAAAGTGAAGAACCTGCAAGAGAAAATGCCAATTGTAGAAATGACGAGCATGACCAAAAATGATGTGAATTTGAGATTTACATATGGTGCTTGAGGTAAAGCTGTTGGCTCAGACAAAATGCTAACTGAGAAAACAGCTGAACTAAAAGTTTACCAGTAAGCTTGCAACTGATTTATACCTTCTGTGGCCTTCTTGGAAACTGTAAATACCACTCTGCTTAGATGATATTTTTTCTAATGAATGTCTAGAAACTGAGTTATGTATTATGTACTGCTAATAATATCCCATCTTCCTCTCTTCCTGTGATTTATCTTTTTTTTAAAAAAACATCTGATCACATTATCTGGAAGATGTCAGAATTCAGAAAAAAAAATAATATACAAAATTTGCTGATTGGTAATCCATTTTATTATTCTCCTTGAGATTTTTTTTTTCTCCTAAATCAAAACTAGCTGCCCCTTATAGTGAAAAGAATATATGGAGGGTTTTAGTATTTTCTCTAAATCCCTCTCAATCCAGTTCTCAATTTTGTGACTTTGGCTTATTTCTTGCCCATTAAAACAGGTGAGAACCTTACCAGTGGATAATATACTTCAGTGATGTTACTTAGAAGGAACAAGAAGTAGAGGTCACTTTACATCCATGTAAGTAACTTACCTTCTCAATCTGAGATTGAGTATTACCTCTTGCTCCGATATAGACCATGGCCAGGGCTGAAATGATGCTCAGAGGGGAATAAAAGATGTTGTCGTTGGCATGGTGGACCTTCACCTCTTTGAATACATCAAAACAAAATTCTGCATTTGCTGCAGTGATGGAGCCCATCATGAAATCAGTGTTTTCTAAAGCAAACAGAAAGAGACTTATTACAATGAAATATATTAATTGTAATGCAAAGTCAGGGCACTTGAACCCCTGAACTTGGTGCACAGGGTTTTTTTTTTCAGTAAACAGAATCCAGGGGTGTAGATTAAAAGGCAGACAGGCTTTTGGACTCATGAGCAATCAAAATGCTGGATAGCTACTAGTTTTGTATAGGCAGATGATTCTTTTATTTGAAACTTGAGATCTCCTTCCCTGTACATGTATACCATGTTGTTGAAAATGTTGTGAAGAATATTGATTACCTTGAAGGAAGCTCACCAACAGTCTTTTCTCATCTCTTAAGGAAAAAAACACACATAGATTTGTTCTCAGAATCTTCATTTTTTTGAGACTCCAAACCAGGTTCTTCACTATAGTTTTTAACATCACTTTGAAGATCAGTTAGTGGATCAGCCCTCTATGATCCAAACTACAGTTAGTTCCAGTATACAGTGTGCAAGTCTGAAGTAACAGCATAAGTTTTGCTAAATTATGCTAACTTCATCTTAGTGAAAGTGGAAGCTAGGTTCTTACCCCACATACTTTATCAGAGGTCTAGAATGTTAGGAACATTACATACATTTTTTTAAAATGCAATACTGAAGGCACAGCAATGGAGACTGCAAATGATTTACCAAATTCACCTTGTTTATGACAAACAGCTATAACTAGTATATTCCATTCATTGTTGACTAAATTATATCTCACTCTGTTTTTAAAAAGTGTTCTAAAATTTTCATTATCACCTTTTCCATAAAATCCACCATTTAATAAGACAGTGCTTGTTTAGCCTTGTGTTTAATTTGCAGAGATCTGCACATCTTCAATATTTAAATATTTTTTCTGCCCCTTTTTCTGATATTCTTGTAAAGTTTTCCCTGTAGTTTCAGCATTTCATCTAACAGTGAAGAGAAGGATTTTTTAGTAAAGACAGCAACACAGAGTGGAAAATACAGTACTGTAAAGTCTAATGCAACAATATAGTGTCTATACCACTTATAACTTCCCACATGTTGATGCAAAGAGAGAGAACCTTGCTAGGCTAGAGTGGGGATATTCAAGCAGTGCAAACTTAAATTTGTTTGCCTTTCTGGCTTCTAGAGAAAAAAATCCAGTATAGTCTGCCATATGTATCAGAGTCCCTATGAAATCAATTCATTCATGTGACAGTCATCACATAAGGTAGGATAAATTGACCAGTGCATCCAGCTGTTCCCCTGCTAGAATGGATGCTCAATCTCTCTCTAAATTGAATCACTTATATAGCTGCTGTAGGGCAATTTTTTATTATTATCTACCAGTTCTGCTAGCTATTATATTTTAGACTTTAAGCTCCAATTATGGTCTTGGTGAAGAAATATACACATGATGCAAATGCTTTTTTTTTAAAAAAGAACTTAGAAAATGTAAATATTAAAGACAACAGAGCTGCAGTATGCTGGGGTCACCTGATTATGATGCATTTTATTCAGAGAATGTCTTCCATGAACCCTGAAACTGAACTTTAATTGCATCCTCTGGAATTTAAACGAATTCAATTTTGTCTTTTAATTCTTAATGCAAAATTAAGGGATAGAGAAAGAAGGAATAAAGGCTGTCATATAACCAGTTTTTCAATGTGGAAGAGGTAGTAAACAAAGCTTTAATTCATACAAACAAATTTGACTTTAGCATGTCAGAATGTGAAACAATAAAATAATGCAGAACACACATATAAAGGTGAAATGAAGTTCCTGCAGAAGGCATCCTTTAATCATTCGTGTCTTTAACTGATATTGAATATCATAAACATGAGGTTACATCAATCTTTTTGTAAGCTTTGTAACAGATTATTATTTTACAGATTAGAACTTAAATCATAATTGAAAGAAATGCTTACCTTATCGGCTTCACCTGTGAAGGTAACAGTACAGCTTCTCAGCTGTACTTGGGGCAGACTTGCCAAACTCCTTGAAATATATCTTGTGTAATTTTGTGACACGCCCCACACTGTCTGTTCTGTGTTTACCAGATAAAGTGATGGATGGTACTCAATGTCAGACATGCACTTACTTGGAATAAGTCCATTCTTTTTGAAAAAAAAAAAAAAAATTGCCCAAATGAAAGGATTTTACTCTAAAATGATTCATTCATCAAAGCATGTGAAACCTTGCAGAGAAGGAAGGAACCTATTGAAATGGCTGAAGCAAAAGTAATGTTAAAAGCTATTCATTAGAACTTGAATAGTAAGTATAATTAGATTATGGCACCAAATACTGTGGTTCATGAAAATAAATTTTGTTCATGAAAATAAAACAAAAAATGAGAAATTCAGTCTTGCAGAATGTCTCCAAGGAATTTTGAGTTAATTTCCATATTAGTCCTGTAATGAGTGCTCATAGGCCAGAACCCTCTCAGAGTCACCATTCTGTGACCTCAAAAATTTGGTAAGATCAGCACATGCAGGACTACTTGCTATGATATGCTCACACTATACTTATTGCAACCTTCCTCTCTCCCATTGTTGGCTGGACTACCAATATCACTAGTCTTTCTTCCCATCATAATCCATAGCTCTTACTGAGGAATGGAGAAAATTCTGCTACCAAGGAACTTGAGAAAGACCACACCCTTCAAATGTTAGTAGCCAAATTTAATAATATTGAAATATTCTGCAAAAACTTGTATGTAATTGTCTAGTGTCTTTTATATCCTGCATTGTAAAAGACAACACATAGAGTGTTTCACAGAGCACAGTTTTTCATCTAGCTCAGAGAACTGAGACATAGTCACAGTCTGCGCAGCACATCAGTGGAACAAAACCTTCAGTGAGCATATTGTGGGAATACAAATTAATTTCAAAAGCAATATTCAGAGCATCTGTATAGGGAAGAATTACAGAGCTGAAGAAAGGCGTGTGGGGGGAAAAGAAGTTGAGCAAAGAAGGCAAGGTTTCTGTTGCTTTTTAAATTCAGGCAATGGGATATTTAGATCCCAGTCAGATGCTACCAGAAAAGGATTTGAACTCACTGCTAAAATTTTGAAGTGTAGTTTAAGGTGAGTTGTTTTCCCATAGGTCACAGCACTACATGCTAGGTTCAAAATGTGCTTTTTGTACATACAGAGACCATTCTTACAGATCTTCCACAAGTAACTTCATGGCACATCAGGTAAACAAAACAGCTGAAGAAACATTCATGGTCTGCAGGACAGTTATAATGTACAATAGCAAGCAGAAAGCAGTCGCATAACTCCTTTGAAATAAAAGAATGAACAGACAATAAAAGAAACTGCTTTGACCTCTCTAAACACCATGTGATTTTAAAATAGAAATCCAAAGTCAATACACAAAATGGCTCTGAAATTATCTAGAACAAATTATGCTTCTCACAGAGAAGAGGTGGACTCTTTAACCCTTAATTGTCTATGCAAATGGAAAGCCTCTGAATCATCCATACCTTTCTCCCTTATGCAGTCCTTATTAGTCCCAGTCACCAGAAGATGCTAGAGCAGTAACTCTGAAGAGCTCAGTCTGGACTGGTGCACTTAACATACCACTAGTGCTTTACATGGCACAGTGTGTAGCCCAGGCCACTCTGCTACAGCCATTGCTATGCAGCAACAGTGCTTTTGACGAAAGATCTTTAGGCCTTGCCATATGTTGGTGGCCCGTCACCACAAATCTATTGTAAAGAGATCACACTATTCTCTCACAGGAACGGTATGTAAATTGGTCACCACTGTTGTGAGTCCTGTTTAGCTGAAAATGGTATCACCGTGATGGTGGAAAGACAAGTCAAATGGGTGAATGTGTCTATACATGGTGAATACCTCTAATCACCCCATTGGGAGTGCTCCCTAAACTGCAAGCTGTTCCTGCAGCTGCTGCCCCTTCTGCCTTTCCTGATTAAGACTGCTTTGTTTCTGTTCAAACAGGCTTTAACATCAACAGTCAGGGTCCATTGTTGTATACTTTACAGCTCAGAAGTCAAAGGATTATCCAATATGGTTTACCCTGTCGTTTCTAACTTTTGAGTATTACTTGAATCTTTTTCCTTGACAATCAGATTGTCTAGTGGCACACTCCAGCTAACTGTATGTGACCCACCTTGGCATTTGTGCACCATCTACCTGAGTCACATTTGGATGATTATAGACAGTCTGTAACTTAGTAGCTACAAAGATGTCCAGTGAGTTGGTACAGTTGTTTCACAACCACCAATTCACAGCACTAATGGTGTTAGCAACGGCATGGTTTTCAACACACTTCTGAGTCGAGTGTATTTGTTAATGCAAGGAATTTTTTGTTTTGCAGTTGAGAAGGAGAGTACACTTTTGCAGAAGCATGTTAATACACAACTGACGTTACTGGTTTTGTTAGCATTTCTATTTTTTATTGGTCAAATGAATGATTAATGTAAAAGCAAATTGTAGCAGCAACAAAATCATTCCACAAGTAAGTAAAAATCTTGATCGTGATCAGCCCTTAGTGCAGAATTATAATAATAAAAGGGGTTCTGCACAGTCTACTTGGCAACTTTAGATCTGGCATTGAGTCTAGTATGATAAGATTAAGCAGATCTTCCTGTAGTTGAAACACTTCCTGGAATAAAAGATAATGGATTGCCCTCTCCAGCACAGCTGTACAATGCAGCACAAACACAAAAGGATGTGTTTTGCCACATGCCCTTGTTTGACAATGCTTGTCCCAAGAAAGAGGTCAGCTAAGGCTCTGCTGTCCTTTGCTCTGCCGGGCATTTCATTGTGGAGCTGTCCCTAAACCAACAGTCTTGGACATTCGAGTCTTTCCAAAAGGATATGAAGTCCAGGTCAGCTCACAGACCAAAGCCTCTCATCCAATCACAGCAACCCACACAGAACTCAATATTTTTGTTCTCTTCCATGCTGCTACTCATTTACCAGCAGGAAGGAGCATGTTGATTTTTTTATGTTTGTCTTGCTCGGAGTGACTGCCAGCGATTGTTTAGTTAGCTGCCATTGCAGACCTTGATGTTGTAGCTGTCAATGATGGTTTCTGTCTCAGTCATCCTGTAGGACTGTGCTCTTTCCCCAGTCTGAAGAAAATGAGGTGTCTGGTCAAGAATCTCCAGACAGAAGCTCGTAACCCAGCTGGCACCTTACTGCAGCAGCGCTGTGTCGTTCTGAAGAGATTAACATTGTTGCCTGCAGTGCTGCTTTGATCATTCACAGACTGTGTCATGGATGTGCATACTTCAGTATTGGCAGAGGGGATTTCTCCAGCGAAGACATCTTCAGAAGGGTCCTATGGTGGCCTTTCTCACCAGTCTCTCACAACTTACTGCATTTGATTATCAGCTCACAGAGCATCCTGGGTCTGGTGCTATACAGATTCTGGACCAGCACTCACAGCAGTCCCTTTATCAGTCACCACAACACATGTGAAGCCCCTTATTCATCCCTCAAGTCCCTGGAACAGCCAACAGCCAGGGTGAGACTGTGGATGATCTTACCTCACTGGGTCCTAAGGAGGCAGCATGGCAGCCAGGACCTTACACCCAGCATAGGTGGCTACTGGCACTGGCACAACTAGTTGACTGGTTGTGCCATACAGGAGCTTAGTTAGCAGGTTCTCTCCCCACAGAGAAAACTGTCCATGGCAGTCTGTGACTGACATTGTTCATGGCACCATGACTGTCACATTACCTCCCACTGCTCACTGGAAGGCTCCCCAGCATTCCAGTTATCTTGGCACAAGATAACTAGCATTTTTCTTTTGCACAAAATAGGATAAACTAATCTCTTGGATTGTTTCAACACAGACATCCTTCCATTCTAATCCATCCTTCCACTTCTCTGACTAGTAACCTACTAAGATTCTTAATAATATTCATGGCATGTTTCCTGCCTCCCCTGCAGAAGACTGCTGCAGAAAAGGAGAGAAGGAGGAATGTCGCTGCACAAAACTCCATAGTATCATGTTGGCTTTTCAGAAAAGAACTGGGTGTCCTGGCAGACACCAAGTTGACTGTGAACCAGCAACGTGTCCTTGTGTTAAAGTCAACAGCATCATGGGCTGCATTAGAAAAAACATTCCCAGCAGGTAAAGGGAGGTTATCCTGCCCTTCTGCTCAGAGCTGGGGGGACCACAGCTGGAACACTGCATCCAGATCTGGGCTTTCCAGTACAAAAGAGGTGTGGATGTACTGGAGCAGGACCAGAGAAGAGCCACAATGATGAAGTGATTAATGCATCTGTCATGAGAGGAGAGGCTCAGAGAGATGGGACTTGTTACCCCAGAAAGGATAAAGTGCAGGGGGGTCTTATCCATGTGCATAACTTACTTGATGGGAGGGTGAAAAGAAGATGGAGCCAGACTTTCTCCAGTGAACAGGAGAGAGAGAATGAACACAACTTGAAATAGCATAAATTCCATTTAAACAGAATACATTTGTTTACAGGGAGGAATGTAAAGCCAGGTTGCCTAAAGAGGCTGTAGAGTCTCCATCCTTGGAAATATTCAAAACCCTGGAATAGACAATTGGCAGAGATCACCTCCAATTTCAGCTGTTCTGTGATTTTGTGCTATATGTAGAGGAAAACAAAGGACATGGAGACAGCAGGGTTATTGCATATTAAGATGCACTGTGGTGTGGATGAGGCACTTGGAATGGGAATGTATGGCAAGTCCCACGGAGGACTGCTGTTTCCAAGTTGTACAGGGAACAATGTTGCCTCTCACTGGCAGGCCCTTGGACCCATCTTTATGCTTTCTGGAGGTGTGTTGCACTAAGGGGTGCAGAAGGTTTCAGGCTTTGTCTTGCCCCACATGTACTTGCCAAGCCTTCTGTCTGGTGCTGCACAGCAGTCTGCCAGAGAAACAGGGTCTCAATTCTTCAGAAAACAAATGCCAGAAGCCTTTGGAAGGCTGTGACAAAAATGCCAGTAGCAACAAGGAGGTTTTCAAGGTTTATTTATTTTTGTGTCTTTAAAATAAAAACTTTTGGAGCACTTCAATATTATTAAAATTTTGGCTGGTTTGTATTTTTAAAGCAAATATGCTCAGCTGCCTATTGGCATGAGAACCAGAACTATGCCCAGGCAATGAAACCTGCCAGGTGAAAGCGCAGAGGTGCTCAGGCAGTGCATGGGGTGCAGCCGTGCTCCTGGAGCACCTGCACCTTTCCACTGCATGCTTGCTTGATGGGTGAGAGCAGAGCAAGGCTGAACCGCAGACCCTGTCTTTCTGGGGCACAGGAAGGGCGGCTTCTCCCAAATCTACCCAGGGTGTTGGAGAGATCAGACTCCACAGCAGGCATTCGTCATCCCACTGGTGAGGCCTGCCACCCCCTTCATGGGAAATACTTTTCCACTGCCCTTTAAATATCATGCCTCCTACCCTCTCTGTGGTGGCCAGGACCACTTAGTCATTGATGCTTTGTTGCAGGTTTGGTCCAGTATTGCTGAATTTGTGCTTTTTTATGCCTCCTGTTATCTGTTTTGGGAAAGGGAAAGCTTTGTACTTGCTTGTAACCTCATGGCTCCTTTGGTTTTTTCCCATTCCTTCATTTTGACCTTTGTTGTCATCCAAGAAACAAGACTGGTCACTGAGGCATATCTTTGAACTTCAAGCACTTTCCGGTTTAATAATCATAGGAAGGCTAGTTTGCAAATGTAAAGCTTTTCAAGTCTTATTGTTGAAGTATATGGGCTTTTAAATTTATGAGACCGAATCGACTACTTCTGGCTACAAGAGATGCAAAAGGTGAACAAACTGCTTATGATAAACCTTGAGATGTTAAAATTTTGCATTTCTTGGAACTGTTTATATCACTGCTTTCATTTCTAAAGAACAAAAATTGAAGTATTGTTTTGCTGATCAGGGATACCAATTAAACTCAGACACCTTGGTAAAATAGCTGGGTTTATTACTGAAAAATAGCTGAGTCTATGTCACAAATATCCTGATGATATTCAAATAATGTGGATGTCAGACTCGTAACACCAGCTGCTTTCCTGTACATATCTGCTTTTATCATACCACACTATGTGCCGGTGTGGAAACAGCCAACATTAATTACAGAGTTCCCTGTCTCAAGACTCTCAGTGGAGAAATGCTTTGACTAATAGTTGTCAATGTACTTATTATTTTCTTCTGTCTTTTGAGTTATATGATTTTCAGATTTTTTAATCATATAAAATGACAAAGCTGCTGGAAGAGTTGTTCCCTGAAATACCAGACTAACTGTCATTGCATCTTTAATACCCATTAGAATTGTATTGAAAAATACATAAGAATAAGTTAGTATTTGGTTGGGCTATTTCTTGGTAATCTGTAGTACAGAGAGGAATCAAACTCTAGATGTGTGCATTTATGCATTTCATAAATGCCTAGAAAACATATCTACATGCTTTATTCATTCTAAAAATAGGATTTTGTACTAAACCCTATTTTACTCACAACAGTTACCAAATAATGTTATTTTTAAGGGTGTGGGGTCCAGAAAACTAATATAATTCTCATGACAATCATTTGTGATTTTCTTTTATTATGTTAACAAAAAAAGAAATCAATTGTATGCTTCAAAATCAATAATGTAGGATTAGAATGAAAACAGGACATAGTATTGAGCCAGTATATCCATATCTGCAGATGACAATGGACACATAAGAAGAAAAAGACAGAGAATATTAGGATTCTCATGTACTTCTTAAAAACAAGACATGTAGCCTTGAACTATCATAGGAACAAAGAAGCCCAGCTGCATTCATGGAAAAATAATGTGATTGAGTTTTGACCTTCACCTGAGAGCTTTCCAGGGACTAATTGAAGTTTACTTGCTAAGCAAGCTCAACAGAGACAGAGATTATTCTGAAAGCTGTGGTTTTTCACAAAACTCCCATTGAGAAGTGAGATTTTTTTATAACCACTTGCAGTATTTTTCACAAAAATCAAAATGTTCTCAAATTTGAAGAGTCTTCCAATGTTTTAAACAAGAATTCAGACAGCTCTTTTGCCTGGCAGTTCTCACTGAGTTCTGGATCATCTGGATCATCTGTATATCCATGTTTGGGGCTTTGAATCTACACTGCCTGAGAGGCATAACTGCACCTAGACAAAGTTAGATGTCTTTGCATTCTCTGAAGTGGAAGGGAGACTCTCCATGACTTTGGAGAACCTCTGCAAGAAATTCAGACTCAGATGAGGAACTCGTGGTGAGAGGACAACACCATTTCCCAACAGCTAAGTAAAAAAGCTTAAAATGTTCATAGGGACCAGTCAATAACCTGCATAGCAGAACCTTATCCATAAACATCTCCTTCAGATTGGAGGTCTCAAAGCCCATGTTTCAGGAACAATGACATGGGTTTGTCAGCAGGTTGCTGCCAGGGAATGGGATGAGCACAGCCCATGGCTTTCTATGTAATGGACTCCCAAAGACTTGGAGTCATGCCTGCAAGTTGTTCCTTGAGAGAAAATCACTTGGCCCCTTCCTGGCTGTTGAGTACCTCTAGTCTCTGTTGGTTCAGTCTTTCCTCAGCTAAAGTAATCCTGAAACCAGTATGAGAAGGAAAAGGAGTAAACATGCTTGCTGCTGTTTCCTCATCTGCAGGTATGTCTTTGCTATGGAAGCTTCAACAATGGGCATTTCTTAGATTAGGCTTTCCACTTGGAGAAAATAATGAAGAGATGAGATTACACTACAATGTTACAGTAAAGGGGGTCTGTTTCTGAGGGGAACACAAGCATTATTTCCAGCTCTTTCTTTCTTCAGGGGGAACAATATCTACCAAAGAAGAGGATGCTATTGGTTGGATTGTGTTTGATCAAGAAAAGGAATGGGTGGTCAGCCCTAAACTCTTCAAACTCAGAGGAATGTGGGATGTCTCCCATCACATCCACTGAGCCAGACATCTCAGTGCCCTCTTCACTGACTTCCATGTATGCCTCATGGATGGCCTCAGATATCTTCATGCTCTCTGCTGAAGAGATGCCAGATAGATTGGCTGAAGGGCTGAACAGGTCAGTCAAACCCAAGGCCATCAGGACAGATGTGAGGTTATATTTTCCCTCAATCTTCAAGCGCGGGAGGTACACTTTCACTCTCTTCTTTTCCATCACATTGGGACTGGTCCACGCTGCAAGTTTTTCAAAGCTGATTTTGTCCTCAAGCTGCAGAGAGGCAGGGAATGAAATGTCTGGGATGCAAATATGACTTCTTCCTACCATTAATTTTAATCAAGACTATCATAAAAAAAGCAAACCAGAATGGTTCCTGAAGAGCATCCTATCAACATCTTTCTTATAGTTTATAATTTGCCTCTTCAGTACTGCCTGTCTCACTCTCTTTTTATTCAGTTCCTTACCCACCTGACACATCCCTTTCTGTCCAACTAATCTTGTGTCTCATGAGGCACAACCCAATGATTTCACAGCCTAGCAAATTAGCCAGCTTGTGAAAGAGACTGAAAAACAAGGCCCTGAACATTTACCTACTGTTGATAGTACCTAACAAATGTACACTCCTCTACATCTTTAATAACTCTATAACATAATCCAGAAAAATTGCTTAAATAGGAATAATGGGTTATATAAGGGAGGCTGCATCACTTTTCCCCTTTCCTGAGTACATATAGGTAATTTGATAACACCCTGATAGCTTTATTTTAAATGATTTACATTGGAATTCCAATTTTTTTGCTACTTCTTTCAGAACTCCTGCATGAAGATAGTACAGCCCACCTGACTGAGGCAAATTAAGTCTTTGAGTTTTGTTTCTCCCTTGCATCTGTCTGTTTTTATTTCCTCTTTGCCATTACTGTCCTGCATTCACTCAGTTGTTTAGTTTTGTTTTCTTTCAAGGCCAAGACAAAAGTTTAATTTAATTTTGCACAGTCAGTAGATTAGATTTGTATTCTTGCCTCAATGCATACTGTTGTCACTTTTCCCTTTTTTTTTCTTCAAAGGACTAAACCATTTTTATTACTAGTTTTCATACATCTGGCAAAAACTTACTCAACCAAAGTTAAAACAGTTTTGATGTTTTCTTTTACTTTCTATGCTGTTCTCATTTTCTGTCCTTGTATGTTCAGGGATTCTTTCTGCTTTTAATGTTGATACCAATACACCCAACTCTCTTCTGTTTTCTTTGATGTGTAATTTCCAAATATCTTCCATGCATTTCCTTTTCATCTCTATATTTAAGACTCTCTGGAGACTTAAATGATGAAGTATTACTGATGAGTTAGCTTAGCTTAATTGGTTTCACCATTTTAAAAGCAATAATATTTTATTAAGAACGTGCTTTATCTAACTTTGTTTCGCATTCTATGGTAACATAATCAGAGAAATTTTTGAAAGCAAGTCGTTTATGATGTTTAATGAGGATTTTCTTAAAAAAGAATCATTGGTGATTCCTGGAAAGAATGCCTAATTATCATCAGTTTTAGCAACATTTCCTCAACAGTTTATATGGCGGAGGGGTGTGTGTGTGTGTGTGTGTGACATTATCTTTCAATGAAAAAAAAAATCTGCCCATACATACATCTTATTCTGCAGGGCTACAGCAGCACTACCCTCCTTCCTCCTTTACCTTTGTTTTATTGGACTGAGTACAGGGCTCTCCTAAGAAGCCAGTCCCTGCCTGAGCACTCTTTAGCCCTAGGGGGGCTTTTGTGCTCCCCTGCCTGCCCAGCACAGCCATGGTGTGGGCAGCTGGTATGTAAATAGACAGCAAAAGGTCTGTCGGCAGCCACGTCCCACTGAAGTGGTAACTCTTCTGCTTCCCCTGCCAGGGCCATACCTGCTCCAGGCCAGAGACATCATCAGGCAGCAGCACCAACATGCTCAGCTCTCCACTGGCATACGGAAGCTCCAGGATCTTCATTTTCTCTGCAGCCACCACTGCCACTTTGAAGGTACTGTTCTGACACATCATTTGCACAGGTCTGCTTTCTTCCTGCAAAAACAGAAATGTGAGATGATGTGACTGGGGAGAAATTATTTTTTTTTTTTTTAGGCAGGCAAATGTACAAGTCCTTTGAAAGAGACGGGACTCAATTTTCAGGCATATTGCCTTTGGAGAAGAGCTGTGTCTCTTGCCTGCTGGTGTGCCCTGAAAGCCTGGGCAGACACAGCTCTTGCAAACCTGACAGTGAGGGGCCCATCTAAATCAACAGACCACTGACCACAGCATGTTGTATGCGTAACACCCACCCCTCTGGCTGTGCAAGCCAACAGAATGGCTTCCTGGCCAGAAGCCATGTCTGTGCCCTCCTACCTTTGTCACACTGAAGGGAAATTTCTGAGAGTGTTCTTTAAATGCTGTCTTCCATATCCCTTTGAAGTAAATGGCATTCACAAGGACCAGTGCAGTATCGAGATCAATGGAGCCTGGTTCAAGGAAATCTTGGATCTGTCCTTTAAGGAAGAAGCAGGGCAGAGAGTGGTAAGTTTCACAACAGTAGTCCTGCATTTTAGAGGTCAATTGACATGCTGCTGCCTGACTTGACTCCTTCTTCTTCAAAGGTCTTCATGTGTAATTCAGGTTCATGAGGATGATTTAATACAGAACAACTGGCACCTAGCCAGACATTTCTGCAAGAAGACAGATAGGTTCAAGAGTGGTATACATCCCCAGCAATATTTCTAACCAGTGCTTGGAAAAAGATTTATATAGAAAAGAAGGAACAGGAGATGGAAGCAGTGATACAGATTTTCTGTTTCTCCGTGTGCTTCTTTCTTACACTCCAGTCTTGTTTTTCCTCCCACCTCAGCACAATAAATGCACACAAGCTCCTGAAGCATTTCCTCCCCACCATCCGCCTAGCGCGCACGTTACTTTTTCCCCTGGAAGACCATTTCTTACCCATCCAGCACATCCTTGTAAAATTATGCCAATATTCTAGAGAAGTCGTCACTAACCTTTTATGAGTCAAGCTCTCCAGACACAAAAAGCGTGAATATAAAGTGTGCATATCCTGGTACCTCTGCTTTTGCCAGATAAGTTTAAAACACACTGTTACTACCACACAGGTGCAATAGAGTCATCCCTTTCCACGTAAAATATACACTAATGGGGATGGGAGGAAGAAGTTTCTCCTCTAGTATTTAGTCTTCCCAGAAGTTGTTCAAATACAGTTGTGAGAGGAAGTATATTTCGAAATCTTGTCTGACCTTACCATCTGTCTGACTTTCCACCCAGGAATTAATGAGCTGTCTGGCTTGATCTGGTGTTGTTTTGAAGTTGACCATTTCCAGACCTGCTCTGTACAGTTTCTTCACGCATTTTAAGTAGATCTGTAAAGACAGCAATTCAACATAGCACTGAGGGATCTGGTGTAGTTGGGGACTAGATGATCTTCAAGGTCCTTTCCAACCTAGTTGATTCTGTGATTCTGTAGCCACCAAACTAGTAATTTTTTAAAAACAGTATGAAGGTGAAATAAAATATGTCTAAAAGGATTTTTATAGTCATGCCACGGTCATTGCTTACTTCCTGGAAGAACCTGCTAAAACTGGGCCATAAAATTATTCTGATCCATTACATTTTCAGATCTGACATTTTTATTACTTGACCAGTTAAGAGTATATATTAGAAATATTAAAATATTTTCTTGAAGAAAGCCTGATCCAAAAACACTGTTTCAGGTTCATTTTAGAGTTTTATTATCATTATGTCCACTCTTTTTTTTTTTTTTTTTTTTTTTAAAGCAATTTTCCTTATTTTGAGAGATAAAAAGGTCCTTTGATTCAGAATTTTTGTATCTTTTGTTTTGGAAATGTCAAATGAAATATTTTGACACTTTCAAAAGTTGCTTTTGAGGTGAAGCTTTCAAGTGGAGAAATGTGCTGAAGTCAAATTACTTCCTGAAAAAAAATAAGGAACAATCTGTTAAAATGAAAAGGCTATTACCAAATAGTTTTGTTTATTACTCGATTCATTTTTGAATAGGGCCATCTTTTTGCCTGGAATTGCTTTCCATTCAGATTACTGTCAGGGCTGTGGCACAGGGAACGACATGGAAGTCTTCCATGGGGACCATTAGATTAACAGATCACCTACTCTGGTCAATCCTCCTGGACACAGGGTTTAGCAAGAAATCACTCTAATGTACAACTCACCGGTAGGACTGGATATGTCTTTTCAGCATAGAGTCTGTTGGCAATGTGGAGTGAAAAATTGGCTTTTGGTGCAGTGATATCAGAGAGAAGTTCTTTAAACAGTATGTGGATATTCATAGACTTGCCACACTGAGTTGTTGATAAAAAGATAAAAAGATATAGCTGTTATTTTACTAGGAAGAGAATTATTTGTAAGGTACAAACAACATGGGAAAACATAGAGTGTTCTGACATTTGCAAATGAACATGTACTATAGTCTAAAAGCTCCATGGGAGGGATGTTCAATACAAGCAACTAATGTTGTACAATTAATTCACAGCATATGATGACACTCATTCTAGGTGACAACAAGCAGAAAACCTCAGTGATAAATCTGAAACCTCTGGCTCGGGAATGAGATGACCAAAGGAAAATTCAGATGTCAATTATTGCAATTAGCAAGTTGTCATAGTTACAGAGCCTCTAGTACCCAGCTTCTGCTTGCATTTTCATGGCAGCTTTCTGCTGAAGCTGCAGATGGGAGAAGAGTGCTAGATGACAAGGGAGTCAGGAAATGTTTCATAATATTGTGAAAAAATGGATCAACTAATTTCCCAAGAATAGTGTTCCAGGTGACACAAGATAAGAGCATGTAAGAAAAATGCACAGTGGTAAACAGTGGCTCCTTATGAGAAGGAGAAATGTGTTGAACTACTGATTTCTAAATGCTTAACCAGCTACTTAATTCTCTAGCCTTTTTTTTTTAATTACCTTTATTTTTCTTTCTTTAAAAAAAAAAAAATATTCTTGTCCTTTGCAAGACTCATATTGTGCTTGATCCCAAGTGGATGAGGATGAGGACAGGCCAGAGAGAGGCAGCAGGTTAACATGGAGGAAAGCACATGGGTGGTATCAAGGCACTGGAACCCCTCATGGTGCTCTTGGTGTAGCAGTGGGAATCAGAGTCTGGAAAAATCCCTGTAGCTTTTGAAATAGTGTGGTTACTCTCCAGCCTCCTTTGAGGCTTCTGGGGTCTTTTCTGCTAAAGCATCTTCCTGCCCCACTTTGGAGTCTCTCAGCTGCAGGTCTGGCTGCTGTGCCCTGGTTAGGGGTGCTGAGCTCCTTTCACGTGCTGTCTCCTAGCAGCACTTGCAGGTGTGCAGATGCTCGTCTACACAAGAAGGTACCCTGGTGCCCAAAGCACCCTATTCTGTCCTGTCACTTGTTCTGGTGCAACATCTGCAGCCTGTTGTCTTTTTTTTTTTTTTTTTTTTTTTTTTTTTTTTTTTTTTTTTTTTTTTTTTTTTTAATTTACATCTCTTAAATTAAGAGCATTATCAAAGGCTTGGGAAGGTGTTGAACCTCCTTGAAGCAGTCAGAACATTTTATTCTCAGGGGAAAAATCAGAGAGAGAGAAAGATAAATATACCTTAGATTTCTGTACCTTGGTCTGAATATTTCCTCCAAGTCCTGCAATTTTGTCAAAGTGAAGAACCTGCAATTGAGAGTAGCAATAGAAGAAATTACATGCATGAAGTCCACTGAGAGTCACTGATGCTGGTGTTGAAACTATATGTTTCAGCTAAATAGGTCTGATTAGCACATAGATGAACTGAGAAATTTCATATGAGCTTTAAATAATTTTTTTTACTACATGTGAAAATTTGTGATTACAATCCTTAGCTTAGATCCCTTCTTTTCCAGTTAATGGTATTCAGTCTATATCCAGCTACAACCTTACTCTATTGTATTTATAACTGTGATGCTTGTTTTCTGAATATTTCATCTTTTGTATATTACAAGTTGTCCTTTCCACCTGGAAGGAATCAGGTCTGTGAGATAATATAAGCTGAAGCAAGTAGACCTGCCTTAGCCATTCTTCAAGACTGCTCTTTCTTAATGGAAACCAAAGGCCATTCATGCCCTTCATGGGGAAAAGCGATGGTAAGTGAAAACTCAGCTCCAGTTTCAAACCTCATGGTTTGGAATGCCATTCTTTTTCTCAGCAGGTTTGAATCCAGTGCCAAATGTGACCATGTGACTTTCTCCCCACGACTGGAGTAAGTCCCAAAATTGTAAATGGATAATCTGTTGCTGTGTTAAACTGGGTCAAAAGGAGTTAGTATCAATTTATGTAACTCACCTTCTCCATCTGATACTCAGTGTTACCTCTTGCTCCCAGATAAACCATGGCCAAGGCTGCAATGATGCTCAGGGGGGAATAGAAGATGTTGTCGTTGGCATGGTGGACTTTCAGCTCTTTGAATACATCAAAAGAAAATTCTGCATTTGCTGCAGTGATGGAGCCCATTGTGAAATCAGTGTTGTCTGAAGTAAACAGAAATATGACTATATAGTGGTGATATGTAACACTTGTTTTAAAAATTACTGTCAATAACCCAAAACCTGCTAGTTCATTTCTGGTTTTGAGATGCTGAACCAATGAATGATGTAAAGCCTGCAAGTTCTGTGATGATTAGAAATACTGTAACTCTTGACCTGTTTTTCTCTGAACTCATGTTTGCTTTCTTTCAGAAAGATACTAGCTCATCATCAAGACAGTATCTTGTACTTGCCTTTTCAGAAATAAATAGTATCATTCATGCTTCAATATGAAAAATGTAACACTGAATGGATGAGTTTCCCTATGGCCATCCAGAGAAATGTGAGTGATGTTTGAAACAATGCAGACTTCATATTTCATTTTTCCTGTGGCTCCTCCACACAATGATCTGGATCTTTATATGAAATGTAGCCCACTCACTACAACTTAGTGTTCTTCTTATTGTTGCTTAGTACAACCAGACACAAATTTGGAGGTTGCTTTCTTGTAGTTTATAGGAATAATGAGAGTAAGTTGCTCCTTTAATGCAACCAGCTTCTTAGATACTGAACTACAGATTTAGGGGGGGTTCTTTTCGGTAGAGTCCCATTTTCGAGATTTAATCTCTGCTGATGCTTTTTTATAGGGAAAAAGCACAAGCATATGTATCATAAATACAGGTTTTGGCAGTACAGCTTGAAACAGTGTAGACCTGCATTCATTCAGTCAGGTGCAAGTCCTGTGCCTGCAAATCAATGTGAGATATTAAGGATATTCATTGAAACCTGCAGTCATTCTCTCTTTTGAATCTGAGACCAAAAAAGTTGCATACAGTTCTTGTATCTCTAAGACAGTTAAAATAGGAGGAATAGCAGCTTGTCCATAGTTTGGAGCAAATGTGGTTGATTATGTGACGAGACACATCTGCCACTAATGACTATGGAACCACAAACTCTGTGAATCGTCATACCAGACCTCACCCGTGTTCTCCAGAGAGTGAGACTGAGAAAAGAAAAATGCCTTTAGTCCCCAAATAATTATTAAAATTATAAAAGAACAATTTTAATTGGATGCCATATTTTCAGTGAAAAAGAGGTATTTCTACTCAAAGCTATGGTGTACAAACACTCATATTTTGCACACTTCAGAGTATTTGACAGTCAAACAATAAAATCCAAATTGATAAGGCAAGGTAAAGCATACTGTATATGCTGTCTTTTTACATATTTGTCTTATACTTACCTTAAAGTTCTTAAACATAATATCACTTTTTTTTTTCTATATTAAAGAATACAAACTAGAAATTATATTTTACTTGGAGAAATACTTACCCCACAAACTTCAGAGGCACGTAATAAACCAGCTTGCCAGCTCAACCTAAACAGATTCTCTGAGGTCTTGGTGATATATATTGTACCATTGAGACACTCCCACTCTTGGCCTTCAAGGAGTCATCTTTTAAGTCACTACCTTTCGTCATGACCTTTTCATTCATTGCACTTTGAAACATTGAATAGACCAATGTTAGACTGGTACTCTATCTGCAGCAAGTCAACCTTTATTTATTGAAGTAAAACCCAATTAAAAAAAAAAAAAATTATTTAAGCTTTTGCTGTAACTTGTAGGGTTGTACCAAAGAAATTGGAGTTCAAGCCTGTAACTATATTTCATAAAGTTCTTTTGAATTTACACATTAATGGGATTGAGCTATACTAAGTAACTAGAGTCAAATGAAAAAGAAATGCAAAAAACTGAGGGAAGAGTGTTACAAATATATCCTGCAAAACATAATACATTTTTAATAAACCAAGTTGTAACATCAGATCAGGTGATTCTCACAGTCAAGTGAAGCTAAATATCCCAAAATATTCCAGGAAAATAAGACCTAGTCATAGTGAAGTGATCTGGGAGCGATCAAACAGTTTCCACCACAGTCCATCATTTGTGACCATTCACAGGTATAGCTGAGGAAAGGGTCTTGTATTACCAGGGGGTGCAAAAAAGTGCATCAGTCCCTGAAAAATTAGCTGTTTCTCTTCTCACCTATGAGGCACTGTAAGTACAGGAAGCAAAGTAACACAGTACTCCCACCAAGTGTGAAAGGAGAAGTGGATACTGGGCTAACTGCCAAAGGACTAATGTAGGTGCAGTAACTCACTACAGTGTCCATGCAGTGGAACAGAGGGAAGTTCCTCATGAACAGTGACCACCTGATGTTGCCAAAATAATGCAATTCTAAGCAGAGTCAGCTGCAGGATGGTCATTCTATTCAAAGAGTTTTAAAATTATTTTGTCCATGTAAGAACAAAAGCAGATAAAACTTAATTTTGAGTAGAACATTCAGAGCAGCAGTGTTGAGGTCTGAGGGTGGGCATAGCAGAGGAAGAGATTTGAGAAACAGTCAGGATTTACATATTTGTTGAGCTGTAAGTCAGACCCCAGAGTATTCATATATTCAGAAATGTATTTTAAACAGATCAGCTTTTAAATTTCATTCTCCACAGGTCATGGCAACAAGGCTCATGGTATGTGCACAGGACATTCTCATAGATCTTCCATAGCTACCTTTTTACTATGGCAGGTGAATAAACTACAGAATCTGTCTGCAGGAACATTCATGGTCTGTTAGACAAACATAATGCACAATATTGAATATAATTTGTTGTAAAAAGCTATTACTCTTTATTGAATAATAGACTTGATGAGCAGTAAAGAAACAAATCTGGCATCTGTAAAAGCCATAGAAGTGGATAATAGAAATCCCACATTTTTACATATTAACTCACAGAGCATACAGTAGTAGGTGCGCATTCTGTGAAACAGAAAGGGAGCTACTTTACCCATGAGAGTGTGTTTTGTTTTGCTGAAATGCAGACATGTACATGCAGAGCCTGATAATTGGAGTGGCTTTCACTCTCCCAACTCAAAATGAGCTTTTCATCTGAGGATGTTATAGCAGTGATAAGGATGGGAAAAAATGAGGACAATAAGCAGCTTTCCTCTCACCTTGTTCAATGTTCCTTATTCCGTAAGATGGGCTGCTGTAGTTTTTACTTTATCCTACCAAACCGTTGCTGCCTGAGGGCACAGGTTTTATGTGGAAAGAGCTGTAGTATGTCTTCTCGTATTCTCCCATTTTCACATATCCACATTAGAGCAGTCAGCAGTTGCCCGAACATGCCTTTGGAACTTCCACAGAGAGCTTTCCTGGGCACCCACACTCCTTTGTATGCTCTGGTTCAATGTGTTTGGCCTGTGTAGCATGCACCTGAAGGACATAACCAGCCAGCTCTTTCCCTAAATGTCCAAGATTTTCTCAAGAAACATCTTGTTGCACAAGCTTCTCTAGAAGAGGGCAGGTAGGTATTTCTGGTGTGTTCTCCCAGCCAATATATTTGCCTTCTTTGTATACTCTACATTTCATACCTTTGCAGCAGCATGATCACCCCAACAGTTCTTCACACAGGTGGTCTGATTGAACATCTGGTAACTGCTCAGTTTCTGAATTATGCTAGCTACTCTAATCTGAAAAACTACAAGGCAGGCAAGATAGTTTAAAACACCCAAAGTAAATGAGCTCCTGGAAGAGAAAGTTTGGTTCTGACAGGAGTCATGGACAGGGCAGTCCAACTTCCCCAGAGAATACTCCGTGACTATACACCCTTGGGTTTGGTGGGGTTTTGTATTATTTTCTACACCGAATGTTAGTGCACAAGTGGTTGCAGAAGCAGCTTGTGAGTAGCTGAAAATTCTGATCAGAATGGGATACCATATACAGTCATCAGCAGACAAGTGCTCTTTTGTAACTTTTCCTAGTTAGGGCATTGGACCTGGGGAAATCAAATACTTCTCCTGAAATTCAAAAGCTAAGAGTGTAGTACTGTAAAACAAGACAAAGAGGTTAATATCTGTTCCGTATCTGTGTTTGTCCCAAGAAAGAGGTCAGCAAGAACTCTGCTGCCCTTTGTGCCTAAACCAGTTCGTGGTGTTTGCCCCTATCACCCCATGTTGGCATAATTGAGGAGATATTAAGCAGCAGAACAACCAGCTCTTTCCACCACTTCTCTGCTCAGATTTTCACATTTATTTTCTTATGGTTACTCAGCAACTACTGCAGTGTTTGGGGGTAATATTTGATTATGCTTTGGATGGCCCATCCATCTGCATCACACTTAAGCAGAGGCTATACTGGCATTTCTCAATGACCTTAAATGAACTATGAGGTGGCTAAAGAAGTCCCACTTATAGGTTTTCAGATGGTTTTTATTCAGTCATGGTATTCATTGTGCTGGAGATGATCAGCTCAGTGTGGTGCACACACAGTCTGAGGCAAACTGCTGTTGGTATGGGTGCTAGCATTTTTAAGACAGCCAGCACCTTGTATTAAACCTCTCAGAGGGTCAATGTGTCAGGCCTGGGGTAAAGTTAATGCCTAACGTGTCCTTTCCCCTTCAGAGCCCATAGTGGCTGGTGTGTCAACATGTACTGTGTTTATACAGCAACCCAAGGTGAAAGGAGGCCAAGCACATCCACCACTCCTCTATGCCCCTTGATTGCTAGTTAGCTCTAGCAATAACTCAATTTGTTATAATAAAACATCAGTAAAACAGTGAGGTTTTTTCTGCGACACACACTTACCAAAGGAAAGGAAGAGGCTTGCCCAAGTGCCACTTTCCAGGCAGCTGAATCCCACTCACTGCAACACTTTCATGCATGTGGTGCTCTCTGGCAAATGGTGCTGCACTTTGCCTGCTGCATACAGCTGCTGAGCAGATCATCTCTGCAGCCTCTGCTTTCTTCTTCTTCTTTATAATATTAGCTCTAGCAAATGGCATTTGAAGCAATACCTTACAGGGTCTGAGCGCCTTTCTTAATGGATCATAAGACATCAGGACTTCCTGGTATAAAACCTTCTACCAGTTATAGTTTGAAGGAAATAAGCACTGGTCTTCACATGGGGAAAAAAAGTATTGCTCAAAACTGGCTTTTTCAGTGACAACCCAGAAATATTCCTTTGCCCTTCTTGTCCATCCACTGTCAATCTTTTGAAGATAATAATAATGTTATACATAGGTACTAAGAAACAGTTTAAAGGAAAGCAAAATACCAGAGAAAACTGAGGAGGACCGCAACCATCAGAGATATTCAAGTCCAGTGGAAAGATTAATATGCAAATTGAGAGTTATTCAGCAATCAGACTGTGGAAAGACACAGGTCTGTCTAGTGTGGAACAAATGTGCATTGTCTTTCTATGGATGTTCATGAAAATAATATTTGTTTTCTTTTGCTTTGCTTTTTGGCAGCATACGTATTTGTAGGCTGTGAGGTATGCTGGCATAGTTCAACAGGCTGTGCAGCAACACTCAGCATGAAGCCTGTCCCTGGGAAAAAGGCAGTGGTATCCCCTTCAGGATCGTGTCTGCTCCAGGCACCATTCAGGCTCTGGCTTTCCTCTGCTCTGAAAGCTCTGTTGTTTGGCATTGCAGATTTACAAGCTGCTGTTCACCACTTTCTGCCAGAGTAGAGGGTTTACCTTTTATTTTTAGGTAAATGTCTCTGATTTTGTGGGAGCACTGCCCTCTACACTAGGAGCTGCTTCTACTACACTAGCAGCCAGAGGTTACTTGCCAGCTCCTGGTTGCTTTCACTACATTTTTTAGATGTTTTACAAATTAAGAAGGAATTAGAAAAAAGATTATGTGAAGAGAAAATAGATTTTTTTATTATTGTTATTATTTATACTGTATTCTGTTCCTGGTTTTGAAATTATCTAGATATCTGTAGAACAAGTTTAAAAAAAAAATACTACAAAGATCGTAAGTAACTAATTCTGCCGTAGTAAACTGACAGTCCTTGTTTCAGCCACACCTTCTCCTTGCTCGCACACAGAATTCCTTTTCCTGTTGTAAGAATCGTGCTCTTCTGGATAATATTTTACAGCGCTTTCCTTTATCACGTATGCCATTAATTGTTTTACATTTTATCTGAAAATATATAGGTCTGATTATGCATGCTAATGCATTCTAATACTGTTCATTTCACTCTTTTTTTTAACATAAGTATTTCACATTTGAGACACATCAGATATACACAAAATACTAATGGCAGTCATTGAACAACACACATGGCTATTTATTGCATACCCTATTCATCAGAAGAGCCCACAGCCTGTGTTTGCTGTTCTATTACCAGCTAATTGATATAAAAACTGTGCCTCTACTAGTAATTTTACTATTTCAGTCTGTATTTCATACTGAAATTGGAGCCATGTGAGATAGCTCCACAGACTAACATGAACCTGCTTTATTTAGCAATTAAATTTGTGTTGAGTACTGTAATTTACTGTAATTTTTCCTGTATATCTCAGCATTTGGAAGAGCCCTTTGAATCTGCATTTCTGAAATGGCACTAGCATGCTCCCAGCATTTGCTTTCTTCCCATCAGCAAGCAACAGGAAAAGGAGACTGAATCATCAAAGGGGTGGAATATTTTTCCTTTAAAAACAAGTATTTTTCTTGTATCTGTGGATTTTGGACATTGCCTCATATCAAACTGGGCAGGCTGCTCTTTTCTCTGTAATCCCTCATTATGCCTTTCCACCAACCTACTCCACAACCTTCAGGAGGTGGTTTAAGGAACTAGCTCACCAGCAAGCAAATTAACTTTACCAAAATATTTCCTTCTGATTTACATCCCAGAGAACTGTTCACTACCAAGTCAGGCAAGCAGGAGCAGTGGCATAAGGGAGGGAGCAGAAACACATGGAAGGAAGGAGACAAGGGGAGCAGCAGCATCCTCCTCAATGGCATTAGAGTGGCTCAGCCATGTCCTAAAACTACATTCTTAATTCGCTGGTAAAATCAAATGCAAGAGAGAAGCAGTAGGTGAGGTTCAGGGTTTATGTATCCTAATGTCAAGTTGTCCAGCAACTAAATTTAGCATGATGAATACTTAAAAATGAGAGGCAGACTTCACTGTCACTTACATTTTTGAAAGGATTACCATTATTTTTACATGTTATGTTACACTATTCCTCTGTCCACTTAATTCTGCAGACTACTACATTTAATATTTTGTTTGTGGTGGTTTTATTAAGATAAATGGAACAAATACAGGCTACCCACTTAAATACCATTACTATAGATTTTTTAATTAATTTTTTGTGCTAATGAGGAATAAAACAAATGGAACAAGAAACTTATGGTATCTGAGGCACAAAGAGAGCTGATTTTTAGAAGTGAGAATGGCTGATCACTGCCTAAAGTTTTATGTGGGAATTGTCTAATTCACAGCCATCACAGATCAGACCTTGCCAGAAAAGGCCTTCCATGATTCTGAAACCCTGTTTTTGTTATGTGAAAGTTTATGAAGAAGTTGGAGAACTGTCTAGCACAGAAAAAAGTAAGAAACGAGTCTTCCCTGCTTGAGAACAATCAAAATTACACCAGAAAAGTCTTCTGCTTTCTCTGCTCTCTGAGAACAAACCCCAAGAGTTCCAGATTGAACCATTACCCCCAGTCAATTAAATGAGGGGTCCCACAGGAATATTTTGGTACTCCCATACAAAGTGGCATTTTCCTTGAGACCTTTATAGAAAGAGGTAGGGAACCTTAAAGAGACTGAGTACCTGAGTTTATCCTTTTAATGCAGATCCCTATCCTCCTGTCTCCTTCATGTGGGAGAATGTATCACTCATCTCTAGGGCTCTAAAATCATGGGTTTATTGGAGACATAGTACATTAGGAAAGTCTCAGAATAAAATTTGTTATGCAGATGTCTCTAGAGGCCTACAGCTCTTTGGCAAATATCACATAGTGTATTTTAAGGTACATGTCATTTTAGTGAGGCCTCCTAAAAGTAAAACATGCCTGAAGTTAATGTTAGAAGGGAAACAGTTAATGTTTTTTAGATTTTTATCTCTAATTTGGCTCCTATCAGATAGTCTTTTTACGGCAAATTAATACCTTAGGATAAACCTAGTGGAAAACGTGATCCTTTTTTTGTCCTCAGTTCTTGCCAGTAAGGATGTTAGTGGAGAGAAAGATCTAATTTCCAAAATAAACTCCATTTAAGGGGACGAATATCTTCCAAAGAAGAGAATGGTGTTGGTTGAGTTGTGTCTGATGAAGAAGAGGAATGGATGGTCAGCTTTGAATTCATAAGAAATCGAGCGACACAGAGGCACTGCAACAAGCCCCATGGCACCAACTGCTTCAGTCCCCTCTTCATTGACTTCCACGGATGACTTCTGGATGGCCTTGGACACAACCAAACCATCTTTCCTGGAGATTCCTGACAAATCAGCTTTTCCCCAGTCAAAAACATTCATCACTCCCATACCCTCAAGAGTTTTGTTGAGAACGTAACTTTCCTCCATCTTGAACTGAGGCAGATACAGCTTCACTTTCAGCTGTTGCATCCTAGCTGAGCTGGTCCATCCTGCAAGTTTTTCATATGTGAGGGTGCATTCAAGCTGTAAGGCAGTATTGATAATAATGATTGACACCATAATGAACAGAAGGAAAAGATGAGAAGGTCAGTTTTTTCCTGCTTGTCTTCTGACCACACTGGAGCAATGTTAAACAATTGCTCTGCTTGCAGCCCCTTACATACACTACTAGAGAGAACAAGAAGTATTACCTGCTCTAGGCCAGTAAAGTCCTCAGAGACAACTTCAGGAAGAAGAATGAACATGCTCAGTTCATTATCAAAGTATGGGAGCTCTATCACTTTCATTTTCATTTCCTCTATGATGGCCATGTTAAAATAACCTTCTTGAAACATCATCTGCACTGTCCTTCTCTCATTCTGGAACACATGAAACATAGAAAATACAGAAATGATCACCCTGGTTTTAATTGGTTTCAGTATTGAGACTGGAGTTCAGTCCAGAAATACTATTTATGCTGGTCATGGGTTTAATGTACTTGTGGCGTTGATGTGTTCCTCTCTCTTAACTGTAACTCCAATGAAGTTATCCATTTTAGAAGCATAAAATGTACTTTTCCATTTCTATTGGTGCCAGATTACTTTACTCACAACTCCCTCATTACATCCTTCTTTCTTCTGGCATGTCAGATGAGGAAACTGATGCATCTGATGCAACCATAAATGTAAATTGTACATGAATAATGTATACATTATCCTGAGATAATATGTCTTTAGCTCATTTTTTCCTGAAAACAAACACTGTTCTATTGGTAAATAGTAAAAAAGGAACAGAATCCTCAAATGTGGTCCCAAAAGCAGACTATTTTTGAAACAGCATCCTTAGTTGTGTAAGCCCCAACAAAGTCAGCATATGTGCTCAGTGACTTTGAACCAATGAGGATCTCAGCTGCACAAGACTCACTTCTGATGTGAATTGATAGAAACAGTTACATATTTGGTTATCAAACTAGAGAGAAGATGTAGCTTTCTATTTTTCTAGCTGAAGACCTGTGTTTTGTCTTGGGATAGCAGAGAAGAGGAAAGCTCCCATCTATTGTTATAGGAGACAGACATCTGATTTCCATCCCCCAGCTATTTCAGTTCCTGCCCATACTGTACCTTGTTCAGTTGGAAATATGTTTCCTTAGTGTCTTCTTTCTTAAATCCTACTGCCCACTTTCCTTTAAAATATATAGCATTGACCAGGACAAGTACAGTAGAGGGATCAATAAACCCAGCAGCAAATAGGTCTTTGATTTTACCTTTAGAAATAACGAATTGAGAATAATTATTACTTTGTTTGGGCAATCAGCTGCATTTGACTATTAATAACTATTTCTATAAATATAAAAAGTAGTATAATGTTGTCAGACAAATAACAAAATGTTTATGTACAGCTTTTGAATCCAGGAACTCAAAGCATTTTTTGTGCCTTTCCCTACATCTATTTCCTACTGAGCAAAAAAATTTCAGTGAGTGTTTAATATATAAAAATCTTGCTACCTTTGGTTAAAAAAGTGGAAACTGAAATTCAGACATGATATTCCCAATTGGTTCAATTGCAAACCATACAATCTGCACATTTTCTTCTTTACCTTTTGTCTCACTTTCCACCCAGAGGTTAATCTTCTCTCTGGCTTCTTCTTCAGGGTATTTAAAATTGACTGGTTCCAGCTCTGCTCGATAGAATTTCTTAGTGGAATCCAAGTATTGCTGGAAAGTACAAATAACAGAGGTATATCATAACGTGGTGATTGTTATAAGACAGATAATTTCATGGCTTCAAGATAATTCCATGTAGTAGATCAGCAAGAAAGGAATAAGTAAAAAAGGCATATATAAGAAATTAATTGAAATAACTCAAGCATTCAGTTTTTAGAGAGAGATTATTTAGAAAAAACATATTTGCAAATATTTTTTTTTGTATTTTCAAGCTGTACTGAGCAGCAAAAATGTCTCAGCACAGTAAAAAATATCTAAGATCAAAACATGGTACCTTTCTTTAGGCTTATATATCATTGTTATGCTGCATGTCTTCCCCCAGTGTGTGTGTGTGTGTGTGTGTGCGCGCGTGTATGCGTATTACTCCGTGTAGATACATACGCTGTGAAACTTATAACTTGTATTAAGCATAAAACTTTTCCAGGCTGCTGGTCACCTTTTTCTGGCTCCGAAAATGTCTGTTTACCTAGAGTGCAAAATTTTGGAAGCAAGGTGAAATCTTGACTTGAAAAGAGAAAGGTGGTTACAGAGATAAACCAGCACTGTTTCTAGCAATACTTTTATAAACACCTAAAGTCTACTTTCTTGAGGAAATTATTTGTATGCACTTGCATTGTCTGAGCTGTCGGTGTTCCACAGGAATGTTCTGAGATGGTCAGTTCCACTTAAATTAGACTATTTGACAAAAATTTCCAAGTTGTTACTTTCTTCTAAGCCTTGTTTGAAAAGACAGCAGGAATCAGAGTCCCATATTTGCATAGACTCTGAAGGAAAGGTGGCAGAGTGAGTACAATCATTTTATTAAAAACAGAGAAGACACTGGGAAAGAAAAAGTCTTCTGCTAGTCACAGAGCTTTGTTCCTTGCATAGAAATGACGCAGCAAGCCCCAGCTCTGTTGGACACTGGGTGTGCGTGGCCAGGATAAGGATATATTGACAGTGATTAATGATATCATATTTTCTGGATTGCCCAGGGAGAGCTGTTACTGTAGATCTGTATCTTTATATAAAAGCTTCTAAGTCACATCTTCCCAGTGCTCTGCTGTTTCCCACATCTAACCACTGGGCAGCTGAGATGGAAAGGCTCCCTGACTGCAAGACCTGTGGAATGCAGGCATTTGGCAGCACACCCTGACTGCACCATTGTGTTTCATTTCCCTTTGTACTTTATGATTGAAGAAACTCTGCTGAGCTCATAACTCCCAGAAGCTGTTGAGAGGGACACCACAGCTACTTACCTGAAAGAATGGATAAGTAATTTCTCCAAAGAGCCTGTTGGCAATGGTGAGAGAGCAGCCTGGTCTGGGTTCACTGACTGCAGCCAGCAGCGCCTGGAACTGGGAATGGACTCCTCCAGCTTCTTCACACTTCAGACAGGAAAAGAGACATTTCATGTTAGGCTTGAGCTTTCCTATGCAAAACTGAACCTGAGGGTGAATTGCAGCCCCTCTCTGTATGAGAAGCCTGAATCCACCCAGTTGATACAGGCATTGGAATAAATGCATCATGACACCATCTCCAACTCCCCCCTGTATCAGACATACAGAATGACAAAATTATTCCCCTTTGGCCCACACTACTCCGCCTCCAAGTCACGTTGTATCCAACAGTGATGGTTCTGTGCACATTGAGCAAAAAGTCTGCTGGCTTAAAGCCTGGGAGAAGCAAGCTCCAAGGTGCTTTTGGTATGCCCTGTAGACAAGCCTTTGCAGGTGGCAATCTAAGCACTTATCACATTTTAGACTAGTACTACTGTTTTGGTTAGAAACCTGTAATGAGAAGGCTTAGCTGTTGAAATGTGTGATCTCACAAGGCCCCTTAAATAGCTAATAAAAGAACAGTAATAAGCAGGTCTGCATATCTAGACAGAGAGGTTGCTCAGCGCTGCCGTGCTTTCTGATTAAGTGATCATTTGCAAGAAGGGCTGACAAACCGGCACCTGTTGCTTCATCTCAGAGCTGCAACTGCATCTTACCTTCTCAGAAGGGTATCTGCTTCCCTGACTTGTACTGTTCAAAACTTCACTGAAATGAAATACCTGCAATATAAATGTTGGGTGAATGCAGCTGAGTGACAGTACCTTAAAGCTAAAACGGTTTTGCAAGCCTATCCCAAAAAGCAACCAGACACAGACAATGGGCAAAGTCCTGTTTGTCCTTTATCATGAGACCCTTTCAAGTGAACAAGTTTTAGTAGAGAGCTCATGAAGTCCTCTTAAGAAAGAAGACTTTTGGTATCCAGAGAAGGCAGAAGACCATATCAAAGGGAATCACCACTTCTGAGCCCTGCAGTGTGGAGGGATACCTCCAAAATACTTTAGCACTGATGTATTCACTGAGTAATCAATTACTATAATAGTGTTTAGTTTGAAAAAGTTTGGTACTAGGAATAGCAAAAGACAGAGTATTTTTAAAGGGCCCTTTGTGTGCATCACTCCTTTGGATGCTTAGGAACTATATCAGATGTTACTATCAGGCGCTCAGCTCATATCTTGCCACCATCCCCTTTTCAGAGCAAAGGAAACCCACCTTCTCAATCTGTTTGAGTGTGTTGCCCCTGGCTCCGAGGACAACCATCCCAAATGCAGCTGAGAGACTTAGTGGGGAAAAGAAAATATTTTCATTTCTGTTTCTTTTGCTCAACTCTCTAAAAAAGTCAAGACAGAACTTGGCATTGGCTGCACTGAGTGAGCACATTGTGGCACTGCTATCGCCTGCAACAAAGAAACAAAGATTTAGGCTTCTCATCCTCATGCCTGCTAAGCTTAGATGCCTTGGTAGAGCATGGTAATGTTTCCTCCAGTAGCATGTCTGAATTGATCAGCATTTCCCAGATTTCTGATTCTCCATGTCTGGGATTTTACACCTGAAAACCAGTACTCTGAATAGCAGGTGAGACATATTTTCTGAAACAGTATTCTGAGTTCAGCTGTTTCTCCAGCACAAGCAATAGCTACGGCTTTGTTACTTGGCTTTAACTTTATCCTAACCACGGTCCTGGCTCACTTTATGTCACAATCTTTCTTGCTTCAAGTCCTCTAGGCATAGCACTTATTAATTACACCACTAGATCATACCTCACTCTCTGTGTCTCTAAAAACTTTGTGTGTATTAATCAGCTATGCCTCACGTACTGTGTCCCTCTACAGCTGGTTGTTGAACAAACATTTGACAGAAAATTGAACTACAGATAGGCTCACTTAGCAAGACTTTCAACAAAGGCACACTGTATATTAGTGAAATATTTTTCTGCCATATTTTTTATTTTATCTACATCTAAAATTAAATTAAATTAAACTAATTTAATTATTACTAGCAGGTGATCTTGAATGTCCTGCAAAACTCTTCACATCTTACACCTAGCACAGAATTCCTTTCTTATGAAAGCCTTTTCCTGGTGTTTTCATCCAGTAAAGTGATGTAGAGGCATCTGATCCTTTAGAAAGTCAGTTTAGTATTTTAGAGTTTCCAGCATTCTAAGTCACTTTTGGTTTGATTCTTACTAAGTCCGAATAACTTTCTCCATGGATGTGGAAGATTACTTTCCCCCATTATACAAGAAGAATTAAATTATTCCTATAAATATTTAAAAGATGAAATGGTATAGAAATATTATACTCTCATAAATTACCAATCTGAGACATGCAGAAGAGGTAGGAAAAGGTTTAGTTTTAATCTTTGGAAACACACCTGGTAAAGCCATTGTACAAGTTAAGCACAGCTTCATCACACAGCCCATACATTTTAATGTAATCCAAAACACTGCACAGCATCTTGAAAATATTCTCACTTCTTCAGAGTATGCTATGTACAGTATTTATGTGCTAAGCAGATATGTACATCGCTAATGCACGTATCAAACTTCAGACATTTCATAGTTAGGTCATTCTAATGTAGAGGTTAGAATTAAAGGTCAGGGAGATATTTACCTTCTCCTCAGGACTGATGGTGTCAACTTGACTGTTGAGCTTGATGACAGGCCTTCTGGAGCAATGGGATATAAAGCCATTGCCACTCCCAGTGGCAGCATAATTTTCATTCATGATGAATCACATTTCTGTCTGTTGCAATCAGTCTAATTAGAGGACCTTCTATAGAATCCTGAATTTTTCCTTATCGCTAGGAGTTCAGAAAGAAGCCACAATTTTAAATGCATACTTAGATATTTTAAAAGTCTACCTAGTTATAAAAATGAAAGCAGACTCCTAGAAACAAATATTTCAGGGGTTTTACCTGTAAAAAAATAAATTCTATAAAATTTTATGTCTGTTGCTGTCAGAATTGGTACCATCAAATGCAAACACATATGATTTTGTAATAGAAAATAAAAATTAAAAGCTCTGCAGGTGGCACAGTAGCATAGAAAAGAAAAATACAAAATATAAAAGTACATATTTGGTCAATTGTGACATAAGGCAGTGGTTCCAGAGTGGAGGTAGGGCAGTTCCCTTTGCCTGCTCCAGTTCTGAGCCTCTGAAGACTTCTCCCTTAAAAGTCCTTTCCAGGGAGATTTCCCCACCTGTTTTCTTCCTCAATCAGAAATTTTGTCCTTAGTGAAGAAGATAAATGCAGCCATTTGTTCCAGCCTTTCCTGAATGTCCAACAGCTTGGACAAACAGTAACTTGCTTTCATTTTCATGACAACCTGGAAGAGCAGGCACGGTGCACACACCAGGTGTGTACGTTGGCTACGCTGCAGCTGAGCACTCTGCAGTTGTTGCACGATGTGGCACAGATTGTGTGCATCTGTATCAGCCACACTGCACATCCAGGCCAACTCTGGCACACTGGGATGCTATGCTTCCTGCAGAAACACTGCAGTTAGGAGCTCCCCATGCGTCATCTGCATCTCCTTAGGTATTCCTGGTGGAAATATGAGAGCCCTGTTCCTCTCCTGCGGATTCCTGATATTCCTACTGTAAGTGGGGAAGACATCTGTGGCACAAGGAGCAAAACACAGAGAAGCTATCCCTGTCCACGTAGTCTTCTTTCAAAACCTTGCATCTTGCAGATGTATTTACATGAAAGCTGGATGAGTTTTGTTCAGACAGGCTTTCCAAAAGACAGCAATGTGTCAGCTAAGCTTATCCCAAGACTTCTCATTACTCCTCATTTTTATCAGTGTCTCTGAGGAAATCTGGTCCTTGCCTTATATCGCTTAAACAAGGCATAGGCATTAGGGACAGAGCAACATAATTATAAGTATTATGTTTCTGGAGTTATTTTCCTGAAAAAAATTCTTCCTTCACATTTAGGTTGATATAGTGTGTGGGTGGGCAAGTATTTGCGTGAGTGCGTGCAAGCACAGACACTTATAACACTGTTTTGTAAGAAGTACTTAGTTATTGCTACTAACATATACTTACTTATCAACCCAATCAGATACTAGGTTTCTCTTGTATTTAGGAAGTTCTGAAGGCAGTTTCATATCAGTCATAAGATACTCATGAGTTTATTTCTTCTCTGGTTTGAATTTTCTCATATCCTTTTTTTGGAAGAAATAGAAATTAAAAACATGTTGCTCATTCAAGACCTGAGGACAAGAGGGTTAGACGTGCACAGATTTAGGATGAAGGGAAGAAAGCCATAGAGTCTGTTTTCATTTGTTCAATGCTGGGGCAAGAAAACTTCCCAGAGAAGTGTCTTCTCTGCTTTGCTGGTTTCTGCTGAGGAAGTGGCTGCTCTCCACACAGTCGCTTCAAAACCCAGGCCCTGGGCCTTTTCTTCATGCTGTTGCCTAAAGGAAACTGCAAAGCAGAAGCAGGCAGATGCTGTTCCCTTTCTTGCAGTGGTTGGCTGTTCTCTGCATTCTTATTTTTGGCACTAGGCATAGCACAGTTGGAGGGAAAATGTTGTAGAATATAAGAGAGGTAGAAATATAAGAGCGAGTAGAAGCAGCAAGATGCAACAGCTCTAAGTCGAGCAGCATTCAGTCATCTTCCAGAGCAGAAGCAGGGAGATGGTTTTCAAGCAGCAAGACACAACTACATATTCCTCTTACAGGAATACTGTCAATTTTTAATCCAAATTAATACAGTGAATGAAAAATTACAATCCTGGAGCACAATAAATGGTGTCCTTTAGGCACAGGGGTGTGTGCTAGAGCCACAAATCCCCTTAAAAATTAATTCTTCTGAGTATGAATCTGTCAAGACAAAGTTCAGGTTATCTAATATGTCAGCAGAGTGAATCACTATACTCCTAGCCCTGTTTAGTTTTGATACTTCTGAGCTTGTCTTAACTGTCCTAAATGAACAGGTTTCTTTGTTGTAGTCTGTTATTTCTCTATTTCTTTAGGTACTTCTGTTTGTATTACATTTTGAGTTACCATGAAGATTAACTGTTGCTCCATTGCTCCATTTGGTGGAGGTTTGTTTCACATGGATCATTTTCTGTCAGTGGTCAAACTATAGTTAATGAAGTAGTTGGACTGGCATTAATTCCCAGAAAGGAACATTTTTGGCTGCTCTTCTAGTCTCTTCCTTTGATATTTTCTCCTCTTCTAGGTTAGTATAATGAAGTTTAGAGAGTGTCTTAGACAGGCATAGGTCTCTAATGGGAATGTCTGAGAAATACAGGAGTTTTTGTTCAAGCAGACTGAAAGATGTCCTGAGTTGTAGGTTCTGAGGAGACTCACTGCACAAACATCTGCTGGGAAAAGCAAAGCCATAGCTCATCCTGCCTTTGGACATGAAGCTGGACTAGGACTCACAACACCTCTATCAGCCCTGTGACTCCCTTCCTGCTGTTGGAATAATGGAAACGTTCATTGCTGGCCAGAGGAAAATTAAGAGATTGAAGATGGTCAGAAGTCTCAGAATCAGGAGACTCTTTATTCCTTTCCAAGGATAAGCCTCCTAACAGGAAAGGATAAATAACAGGAGTATTTTTTTGGAAGGTTAGAAAAGTAGTTGCTGAGATGCCTTGTGTGGAAAAGAAGATCAGGATGTAAAAGCACTGCAAGTACAAAAGAAGTGACAGATTTTGTTTCAGATAGTTAGACTACACTGGAGAGAATGCAGATTTCAAAGAGCCCTTTTAGCTGGTGGTCAGATGCTTGTCATGATAAAGCTGCTTTCAGGCAGAGGATTGGATCACAGACAGAGCTGCTTTCTTAACCCTAAAGTTCCACACATTTAGGTAAGACTGTAAATAGTGCCACACCCTTAGGAACAAGTTTTGTTCAGCACCATTTACCTGTTTGCAGTCATTTTGGCTGAAAGTCTCAAACCTTTTCTTCACTTGCCAGGTACATTTCTATTACTGTTTCTGATAGCCTTGCTGCCAGGACCAAGGGAATGAAGACTTCTCCATATGATTTGTAAATCACAAAGAGTTCCGATGACATGGATGAGGTAAGCATAGAAAGGCCAAAATGAGGAACAAGAGATCCACTCTGATGTCAATTAGCAGAACACATCAAGAAGCAACAACTTACTCAGGATGCATCAGGGAAGCAGATTCTCCTTGAGGAACCAGAGGCTGATCTCAAGCTTGACAGCAAAGGCTCTTCTTGTCCCTTTCATCTGACAAACTGCACATTCTGCTACCACTTTGAGACTGTTCAGGTGGTAATTACAGAGTACCTGATGTGTCTGAGGTTGTCTGTGAGTAAAGGTATCATTGGATAAGTAGAAGATCAAGAACAAAATAAGGACTCCTGTCATGTTCACTGGGCCAAGGACCAAGAGGGCCCA